ATTCATTATGTCTGTGTGTTTTTGTCCCCTCCTGATAACAGGGGCTCTCTCGTCCTCGCTGCTGGGTGCCCAGGCGGGGCGCCCTCTCGGCGCCCCCCGGGCCGCCCGCGCGCCCCGGCGTGCGGAGCGGCGCCACGCGCGCGGCGCCGCGCGCGCGCCGGGCGCGGGGCCCTCTTCTCCTCCGCGCGGCACCGCGGCGAGGGCGAGGCCAGGCTGGGCCGGAGCTCTGCCCGGAGGCCCTGGAGCCAGAGCCGTGCTCCCAGCTCTTGGGGGGCGCAGCCTTCGCTTCCGCCGCCTCCCGCCGCCCTGCCGCCGGTCGGTCCCAGCAAGAACAACGCTCCCGCTCGAGGCTGGCGCGCGCGGAACTCCAAGAACCTTGGCAAGTGTTGGCCAGCGTGGACCTCAAACAAGAAGGCGATCCTGCTATCAGAAGCGCGGCTAGGTCAGGCAGAGTCCCCTCAGAACTCGTCACCGTAGCCTTCCTCCTCGCCCTCCCCCATCAGCGGTCTCGATGCCTGGTTCTGCTCCCGCCGACCCTCCGCCGGCGTTCGTCGAGGAAGAGACGACAACTCCTGGAGGAGGAGGAGGAGGAGGGGGAGGAGGAGGAGGAGGAGGAGGAGGAGGAGGAGGAGGAGGAGGGAAGGAGGAGGAGGGAAGGAGGAGGAGGAGGAGGAGGAGGAGGAGGAAGTCCATCCTCGAAAGCAAGGCCCCTTCTGGAACACGCCAAGTGGGGGGGCGATAAAGAAAAGGTGGGGACGAGTGGAGTCCTTCTCGGGCCCTGAAGCCCCCCATTTGGGGCCCGAGAGGGCCCCTGTTCTGCAGCCCTCGCTGCCCAATTGTTTATCGACCCTGCGTTCATCATTCGCGCCCCAGAGGACGAGGATACATCCATGAGATCCGGTAGTTCTGGAGGATGTTGCTGCTGCTGTTGCTGCTTCTTCGCAGCGGCACCGTCCGAAGACAATCGTCTCAACTTTTTTGTAGCTTCAGCGCAGCGTTCCGCGTCAGCGGTCGGCATCGCAATCCAAAAGGGAGTTCAATACTAGTGGTCAATCCCTGCGCTACGGGCAAATGGTTGAGAGGAAACACCTGTTTGATATTACACGGGTGTGGCTCTGAGGCGCCATGTGCTACGGCCCAGGTCATGCAAATATTCGCTTTGATCTCGTTTCGCTCCATATTCGAGGGCTCAGGTCTTTTCCAGTTCGAGAGGGTGCGGCGAGATCAACGGTGCACGGTCACTGGCGAGAACAACGTGTTTTACTACATGATGTTCCAGAACCAGATGCAGTACTGCATCAATGGCAGCATTTATGGGTCACAGTCAACCCGCATAGTAAGGATGCGCGATAAGGATGCCAGAGCCTTGGACGCCCATTTCGAAGCTCTTCGAGCGGGGCGCGGCCAACGAAGGTGGCCAAGTATGGACCAAGGAGGCAAGGATGCAAGGGTGCCCTTGGGAAGGTTGCCCATCCTTATTATGCGGGTTGACTGTACGGCCTTTCCATGGTTGTACTAGCTAGCGTGGCTCCACCCATGCCGACATTTACGACAACCTGGACGCCGATTTCTGCGCCCTCGCCCCCACCAGCGCCAAGGTTCTCGATTGATACGCCAACCATGGGGCCGACATCATTTCGGACTGTCGCTTCGGCAGCCGTGCCGACAGGTGCCTGGTCATGTACCTTGACTGTTACTCCGATGGCTGCACGGACAGGTACAGTAAGATATGCAATTACGAACACGCTCAGGCTTGCTGCCCCGACGGCTGCACCGAAAGCGTTACCAACAAGGTCACCGACACGTTCACCGACTGCTGCCCCGACGGCTGCACCGACAGCAATACAAAAGCAGCATCATCAGCGGCACTGACAAGTTCACTGACCGCTGCCCGGACGGCTGCGTCAACAGCATCAGCAACAACGGCACCAACAAGTTCACCGACTGCGGCCCCACGGCTGCACCGACAGCGACACCTACCGACTCACCATTTGCTGTCCCGACTGCTGCACTGACAGCAGCGCTCACAGCAGCACCATCCGCAGCACCGACAAGTTCACCAGCAGCTGCCCAGACGGCTGAGCCAATAGCATCAGCAACAGCGCCACCGACAAGTTCACCGACTGCTGCCCCGATGGCTGCGCCAAGAGCATTCCCGACAGCGGCATCGACCGTTTCACCGACTGCTGCCCCGACGGTCGACAGCAGCACTCACAGCAGCATCATCAGCGGCACCGACAAGTTCACTGACCGCTGCTCAGACGGCTGCGCCAACAGCATCAGCAACAACAGCACCAACAAGCTCACCGACCGCTGCCCCGATGGCTGCGCCAAGAGCATCCCCGACAGCGGCACCGACCGTCTCACCGACTGCTGCCCCGATGGTTTCACCGACAGCAGCACTCACAACAGCAACATCAGCAGCGGCACCGGCAAGTTCACTGACCGCTGCCCAAACGGCTGCGCCAACAGCATCAGCAACAACGGCACCAACAAGTTCACCGACTGCTGCCCCCACGGCTGCACCGACAACTGCCCAGACGGCGCGCCAACAGGCGCGCCCATGGCAGCACCGACAGTGGCACCGACCAGCCAGTTCACCGACTTTCCCCGACGGATGCACCAACAACATCCACAACAGAGGCGCCGATAAGTTTACGTACCACCTGCTGCGCTGACGGCCGCTCCACCAAGTGTGCTCACAACAACATCGGCACTTGCACCGAGAGCGGCACCGACCCCGACGGTTGCACCATCCGCGGCACCGACAAGTTCACCGAGTGCAGCCCTGGGGGCTGCACCAACAGTAACGCCAACTGTTGCACCGACAGCGGCACCGACAAGTTCACCAAATGCTGGCCAGACGGCTACGCCAACGGCAACGCCCACCGCGGCACCGACCAGTTCACCGACTGCTGCCCCGACGGCTGCACCAACGGCAGTGCCCACTGCAGCATCGACAGCGGCACCGACTGGCTCACCGATTGCGGCCCCGATGACTGCACCGACAGCAGCGCCCACAGCAGCACCAACAGCGTCATCGATAAGCTCACCGATTGCTACCCCGACGGCTGCACCAACAGCTGCACCAACAGCAGCGCCCATCACTGCAGCATCGACAGCGTCATCAGCATGGCCACCGACTGACACACACAGTCGCGACGGCGGGCCTCCCCAGGCCCTCGGCCCCCCCAGGCGCCCCTGACTTTCTTCGGGCCCTCTGGGGACCATGGAAGAAAGACGGCCCGGGATGCATCGGGAGCTTCCGGGGGCCCGCTTGGCTAGAACTCGACAGTCATCGAGCTCTCAGGAGCCAACGAGGAACGCCGCGTGTACAGTCGGGCTCGAGTGGCGAGGACACGCGAGAGGACACGAGACCCTTCCGAGGGCCACGTTCAGAAGGCACGGGTCTCGAGACCCAGACCCCCGATGTCATGATTTGTTCACTACGTCGACCCCCGAGGTCTCGACCTATGCCCCGGGACCAGTCTTTCACCCCGAGGCCCGGTAAGGAGCCCAGAGGCCGAAAATGGACAGAAGGGTGCCCTGGATTTGGCAGGGTCGGTCCGCTAGTCAGGGCCGACCGTCGGGAACGAGTTGCCGCCAGTCAGGGCCGACTGTGGGGAACGAGTTCGAGCTCTTCAGTGGCCACCGCGGGCCCCCGCCACGGCGACAGGCTTCCCCCCGACTCAGAGCCGAGGAGCGGCCCAACAGCCAGAGCCCCTCCTGCCCCCAATGCGGTCCTCGCCTCGGCGCCCTGGCTGCAGACTTCCGTGTACTGACTGTGTGGCGTCGGATGCCTGGGGGTACCAATCGGGGCTGGGTGGAGAGGCCATGCGGGAAGACACGAGCTTCTGAGGGCCACGTTGCCGCAGGGATGCAGAGGGCATGGGTCGCGAAACACAGGGCCCGAGGGTGCCCTTGACCTGGCATGATGCCGCGTAGATCGATCAACCTTCGAGCGAGCCTCTGCTATCCGACGGCGGTCGTGTCGTCACAGGGCGGCCCTCAGCCTTGAGCACCCGCGTTGGTGGCGCCGCCACGTCGACGCCGGCGCGAACCTGCCACAGGTTCGAGCCCCTGCATGTGACTTCGAGAGAAAGAACCTCGCAAATCGTTGTGATGCCGCCCCCTAGCTAATGCCCCGTTCCGTGTCCATGCAGAGTGAGCCACGGCCCGGGCAGGTGTGACTCGGCAGACCCACGATGGCCGACACGAGAGGGGGCGCCAACGAGCACCTCGAGAAGACTTCGTACTCGCTGACATCCAATCCCAAGCCATCGCGCACACAGGCAACTACACATCGAACCTTTGTTAGCTCTGGTGGTCCCAAAACGGTGCGGTGACAGACCGTGCAGTAACCTCAGAGCCCCCGAAGACCTCACCGCACGGTCCGTCGCCGCACGGTTGTTTGGGATTTCGGAGGCCCCAGTCGCCCGAGACGTTCTCGGAGAACGACCCAAATCTCGAAACCGTGCGGCCGCCCCGATTCCGCACTGACTCACCACACGGTGTGGCCACCGCTCCGTGTGGGGGGGCCCGACGCTAGGAGAGGCAGCGCCGTGGCCGAACCGAGCCACGACGACGACGCCGATGGCCACCGACGACAGCGCCGACGACGACGCCGATGCCGACGACGGCCGCCGACGACGACGCCGACGACGCCGACGACGGCCGACGACGGCCAACAACGGCCGACGCCGACGACGACGGCGCCGGCGACGGCGACGATGGCGACGCCGACGACGCCCGACGCCGCCGCAGACGCCGCCGACGACGGCCGGAGCGGGGCCCCGCTATACAAGAGGCCAGGGCATGCAAGGAACCGCCTGGCACCGAGAGCTCTTTGCGAGCTCTCTCCGGGCGCTTCTTTCAAGGGCCTCCGCGCGGGCACGGTCGCCGCGCCGAACGCGCGCCGCCCGCGATGCGCGCGAGCGGAAGGACGCGCCTAGGGGCGACGCTCGCGCGCGCCCGAAGCTCGGGAGGGGCTGGCGCCACATTCAGCGCCAGCGGCATCTGCAGCTCGAGCTCGCGCCAACTGGCAGGGGCCCGCCCTGCTGGCGTGGCCCCACGCCGGTTGCAGCCGAGCGCGCCCCCACCTGGGTGGGCACGGAGGAGCCCTTTCCTGCGATGGGAACGGGGCCTGGACCCTGGGGCCTTCCCCCGGGGACCTGCTCTTCATCCTGAGCCGTTTGGTGACGGTCCTATATGGGCCCTCGGAAGGCCCCCGAAGGCCCGATGACGGCGGAACACCTGGAGGCCCATCTCTTTCGGGTCACGACGTTTGCCCCATGGCTACCCGAGGTGCCCGTTGGGCAGGGGCGCCCGCAACTGCGCAGGCCGGTTTCGGGGACGGGCCCCACAGGCAGTGACCCTGCCGAATCCTTTCGAAGGGAGCCTGCAACGGCGCAGCTTGTAGCCCAGCGCAGCTGGTCAAGCCAAGAGGTACCGATGCCACTTTTCCCCGGGCATATCCTCAGGGTGCGTTCTGACCAGAATTTCGAAGCGAATCCAACGGTGGCGACGGAGGCCTCCATGGAGGCTCGAAAGGAAGAAAACGAAGAAAGGGAAACCAACTTTCCTGGTAATCAACCCCAGGAGATAATAAAGTTTGGGGCCCCGTGGGGATAATAAACGCTGCCACGGCAAAACGCAGCATAAGGGACTTTGAGGAGGAGGAGGAGGATGTTGATGCTGATGTTGGTGGTGATGGTGATGGTGGTGATGATGATGAGTTCGAGATCTGTGGCCCATGCTCTTGCAGATCCTTGCCCACACTCTGCACATCCTCAACCTGCCCCGCGCTTCTCGAATCCGAAGCCTCTCTTGCGAACAATCCGGAAGAACTCGCCCATACAGGCTCGGCACCCCTTCGATTCGTAATTTCCCCCCGCGATAATTAAGTTCGGCCTTGTCGCCCCTCTCCCCCGACTACATCTGTTTTGGCCGGGGACAATAAACACTCCTGTGGGAAGGGGGCGGCGTCCTCTATCATCCCGGGGGCTCGGTTAGCGGCATCAGACAGGGAACCTCCTCCTCCTCCTCCTCCGGACCCTGGCGGAGGAGGGCAGCCGCCCACATCCATCGGTGAATGAGCAGCTTGCCTGAGTGTTGTTCTCCCCACCCCCCTCTGTAGACGAGCGCGCTCCACTACTCGCAAAGTCACTACTCGCAATGGCCTGGATCCGCCGCCGAGGACCTACGATGTTTTACGTCGAGGCGACCACGTGCTTTTTCGGACGTTTGCGAGCAGGGGCTTTGCAACTGGTGGCACGCGCTCGGTGGCCCTTGGTGCGGGCCTCTCTCTGGCAGCCGCGCCCCGCCGGGCACGGGGGGCTGCCCTCCTGAGGGGCGCCAGAGCAGATCTCCGCGGCCCTCCGCGGACCCAGCCCGCGGCAGACGCCACGAGCTGGGGCCCAGAAGGGAGCCCCCTCTGGGGAGGGCAGGACGAGGAGGGACAGGACTTGGCGGCGCGCAGGGGGGCAGGGGGAGGGGGGAAGGCTTCTCAGAAGGAAGCTGCTTCGCAGCAGGCGCGGGCCATGCATCTACAGACAAGCCCCGCGCCTTCTACGAAGCAGGGGTGTTTTCTAAAAAGCCTTCCCCGCTCCCCCTGCCCCCCCCCTCCCGCGCGTGGCCGAAGGATGGAGGAGGGATTGGGGGAGGAGGAAGGAAGGACGACACCAGCACAAGGCCAGAATCTGGTCAAGAGAACCCGCCCTCTGAGTGGCCGTGCCGTCGCCGCCTCTTCTCGGGCGCGGCGCGGCCCCCTCGGACCCGCCCTCGGGGTGAGTGCGCTTCCGCAGGACGCTCGGATCGAATCAAGATGAGGGGGGGGCTCGTGGTGATGCTGAAAGGTTCTTAGAACTTGTGGAGGGTCTCATGGGGTTCTGGGGGGTTCTCTGGAGTGCTGCAGGGGATGGGGGAGGGAGGGGAGGGAGGTGAAGAGGGGGAGGCAGAAGACGGCGAGGACAAGACGGAAGAGGAAACGAGGGGGGAGGAGGCGGATGGCAGGAAGATGGGGGCGTCATCGAGTCGAAGAGTGAAGAGCAAGATCGAGGGAGAAGATAGAGGAGTATAGGGAGAACGAGGGACACAAGTTTGAGGAATCGTACTTCGGTGCGGCCAGTTCTGTCCAGGCAAGAGCTGGCGGGAACCGAACATTAAAAGAGCGCTCCTAGTGACCATGTTCCTCCTCGTAATTCTAACTGACATGTCCACGCCCCAGTCAACATACGTCAACATGCTGCACCTCCTCCTCCTCCTCCTCCTCCTCCTTCTCTGGTGCGCAGCTCCATTTCTTCATCCAGAGAATCAGCTCCTCCAGCTTTCCATCTTTGTTATTCTGCTGCTGCTGCTGCAGCTCAACCTCCTCCTCCTCCTCCTCCTCCTCCTCCTCCTCCTCCTCCTCCTCCTCACCCCCCGCTCCACATCGAACTCGATACATCCTCCTCCTGCTCATCCCCGCGATGTTCCTCTGCATCATCCATCATCCCCCTTCCTCGTCCTGCTCTTTCTTCTGCTCCCCCCCACCCCGCCTCCTCGTCGTCCCTTCCTCGTTCTCTCACATGCACGCAGGAGTGGGCCTGGGCAAGAGTGACCTGTAGTGCGCGGCTTCAGAGGGGGCGCGAGGGGGCCAAACCCGAGCGCGCATGCCGCTGCTATCGCATCGTATTCGGCGATCGCGGGGCCCAAATGGGCCCGGACTAAAGGTCATTCTGCCGAAGGGTCACTCTGACGCGTAGTCGATCCTTCTCCTTCTCCTGCTCCTCCCATTCGCCCGCCTCACCGCCCATTCCCCATCGTTCTCCGACACCGCCGTCCCGCTCTTCTGGCACCCCCTCCCTCAGCCGCCAGGGCATCACGCTGCCCACAGCTCGTCGATGGCGGCGCCTCGGCTCGGACGGGCATGCCCGCTGAGTGTGGCACCACAGGAGGCGGAGCGCCACGTGTGAGGGCCGGCCAGATGCGGCACCATCACCGCATCGGACTGGTCCCCGCGGAGAGGAGGAGGAGGAGGAGGAGGAGGAGGAGGAGGAGGAAGAGGAGGAGGAGGAGGAGGAGGAGGAGGAGGAGGAGGTAGAGGAGGTAGAGGAGGTAGAGGAGGAGGAGGAGGAGGAGGAGGAGGAAGAGGAGGTAGAGGAGGTAGAGGAGGAGGAGGAGGAGGAGGAGGAGGAGGAGGAGCCGTGCCGTGAAGAGAAGCTCGAAGGCACAATCCCCACGGCTCGAACGGACGTCTAGAGGAGCAGGGAATCGGGGCACCCAGATGGGACGGTCGAGGGTGGCAGCCCCTCACAGGCATGAGATGCTCGTTCTGGGGACCTTCCTTGAGCAACTCGGTCCACTAATGCGGAGATGCTGCGTCGAGCGTCATCCGGCTCGAAGAGAACTCGAGTCGAACCTGAGTCGAGCCAGAGCCGACCTGGAGTCGAACAGATCTGTTCGGTGGGCACCAGGAGGGTCCCCAAAAAACAAGCATGTCCGCCCAGACCGCCGCTTCGGGCGCAGGGAAAGACGACAGAACACTGCACCTCGCGGCCTCGCGGCGAGGACACCTGCTGGGAGGCGACCTCCGTGTCAGAGTCGATGCCCCCGCCCCTCAGGGGCACCATCCTGGCCAGTCTTTCGGAGCTGCGTCCGACCGCGGCGAGGCGACACCGCCACTGCCAGCGCGAGGCGCCAGGGAGGGTCTTATGTCTTCCTGGTGGTGTGGTGCCCCCATATGCGCCCTCCTTGGGGGCTCACTGACCCGGGTCAGTGCAAAGCCGGGTCAGTCAGGCCTTGCAGGATCCTACAGGACCCTGCACCCAAACCCAGGTCAGTGCACCCCTGGCCCTGCAGGATCCTGCAAGATCTGGCGCTCTGACTGACCCCCGTTTGCGTTGACCCCCGTCTCTTGGGCCCCGACCCATCTCGCTCGAGACGTCCCTGGCCCCCAGTTCGGGCAGTCACCGTGGAGCCCCTCGCTGCAGGTGGCGCCTCCCCGGTGGTGGTGGTGGTGGTGGTGGTGGTGGTGGTGGTGGTGGTGGTGGTGGTGGTGGTGGTGGCGCCTCTCCTTTCCGAGAGAAGGTCCCGCCCCGGTTCCCCAAGAGGCCGGGGGCTGCTAAAACCGTGGCTGCTAAAACGGCCCTCTCGGAAGGAAAAAACAACTTCGCGGACTGAGGCGCGGCACGCGAAACAGTCAACGGGCTTCTTCCCGGAAGGACGAAGACAACTTCCCGGAGGTCGATTTTAGCAGCCACGGATTTAGCAGCCCTTGCCCGGCTTCCGAAAGAAGGCGGGGGGGGCGCCAGGAGCTCTCGAACGGCGAGAAGACTCCAGGGCCAGCTTTCCCAGCTCAAGAACAGGACGGGGGATTTCCAAGGTCTCCAGTTTCAAGACATCGAGCTTCGGGCTCAATCTGCTGCTGCATCGATCATCAGTATCGTTACGCCAAGCACGTGTGCCAATTGAGAACTGGATGCTCTTTCATATGTGGGCAAAGTTGCGCATGGCCACCTGGCTACACCAGCGAAGAGCCGACTTGTATAACGGTGTTGAGACTGCGGTGATCCATCTATGCTGCATGCGGAGTGGGGAACTCCTCAGTAGCATGGGCGGCATGGCGCAGACATACTAGGCAAGGTATGCATGGAGAGGCGTGTAGATAGGGCCCCCCGCCAAACCCTTGACACCTGGGCGTGAAGTACCATACAAACACAAAGAAGAGGTGGGATGATAGGAGAAGAGGGGGGGACGAGAACGAGGAGCGGCAGCAAGAGAGCGGATAATGAGAGAGGGGGGGGGGAAACGGGAAGGGGAGGGAGAAGATAGAGGGCTTCCGACTCCTTTCTCTCTCATCCCTACATCCATCCATCCCTCTTCTCCCCGCTGCGTGCTCCCCGCCTCATCCTCCACTCGCCTCCCCCTTCCCCCTCGCCTCGCCCTCCCAGCCCCCTTCCTCTGACCGCTCCCGCTCCCCCTCCCCCGCATCCCTCCTCCTCCTCCTCCTCCTCCTCCTCCTCCTCCTCCTCCTCCTCCTCCTCCTCCTCTCTCCCTGCACCCCCCCCCCGTGGGACGGGACGGGCGGCGGGGAGCCCCAGAGAGCCCGCTTGGCCCGGTGCCGCGGGCCGGCTGCGATCGCGAGCGCCTGGGCGCGGCGCCCACGTCCAGCGGCGGCAGGACCAGCGACGACCAGGCGGCGGCCTCCTGGGTGCACTTGCGGACCCCCCCTCCTCTCAGAGGGAACGACACGGGGGGGGGACCCAGCTCGAAGACAAGAACCTCGAGCTGGCGCAGGCGATGCATCGCCGATGCATCGGCGACAGGCCACCGATAGCGAATCCTCACGTTCCTGGGCGTGGCAGGTCCCCACATGTTGCCCCTGACTCAGCCTTCTCCTCCTCCTCATCATCATCCTCCTCCTCATCGTCTGCTCTGACTCGTGGGTCCCAGTGCCATCACGACGTAGCTCTGACGTAAGGGATACGCAGAACTGCAAAGGGACGCACCCGAAGACGCTGCGAACAGTTGTCTACTCAGCAGACACACGTCCACCCATCCTCCTCCTCCTCCTCCTCCTCCTCCTCCTCCTCCTCCTCCTCCTCCATCCTCTTCCTGGAATATCATCCTCGAGCGTCCTCCTGCTGCCATTCCGATGTTTCTCCATGTCCTCCACCTCGCCCTCTATCATATCCTCTCTCTTCTCATCCTCTCTTCTCCTCTCATCGTTTCCCCGTCCTCTCTCGCAGTCTACTTGTTTTTCCCTGCTCCCAATGTGTTCCTCCTCCTCACTTCTCTCCTCATTCTTCTCTCTCCTGCCCCTCTCTCTGCTTTCTCTTTCTCCACCTCACACCAACCACCAAGCAATCGACCGACGTCCTGCCACCTCCGCGTCCTTCCTCCGCCACTCCCCACCCCTCCTCCTTCCTCTCCATGCACTCCTCAATCCCTCCGTCCCGCTCGCTCTTCTCTCCCGTCCTTCCTACAAAACACGCCTCATCCCTCATCCCTCCTTCCCTTTTCATGCGCCCCTTGTTCGCTCCTCCTGGGGAGGGACCCAGCTTGCGATAAACACCCAGGTGGAGTGGGCGTATGCCGTTAGCGCTCCACGAGGAAAAGGAAGCGGATCGGCTCTGGGCTGCCGCTGACGGTGAATAGTCTCTTTTGTTTGTTCTCTCTCTCTCTCTCTCGCTCTCTCTCTCTCTCTCTCTCTTTCTATGTCTCTCTCTCTCTCTCTCTCTCTCTCTCTTGGCGGTTCGGTCTGGCATCTGGATCCGTGGGAGCGGGGTCGCTGTTTAAGCCCCCAGGCAGTGGTCCGCTGCCGACAAGCAGGCGTCCAGAACCTCCGCATACCAACCAACCCGTCCTCCCTGTCTTCCCGTCCTACTCCTCCCTCCCCACCTTCCTCCATCCCTCCCTCCCTCCATCCTGCTCCTCCTCCTCCTCCTCCTCCTCCTTCTCCGCCTCCTCCTCCTCTTCCTCTTATCATTATCTTCCTCCTCCTGCTCCTGCTCCTGCTCCCCCTCATATTATTCCTCCTCCTCCTGCCCCATCCCCCCCTGTCCGCAACACTGCTTGTTTTTATCCTCGGCCACAGAAAAACACATTCCTCTCCTCGTCATCGTCCATCTCCTTTATCTCCTCTCTCGTCCACTTCCCGCCATGCCTCCTCCTGTACAATCACACGATGTGAATATTACTCTCTTCTCCCCGCTATTGCACTGTGCGGGGGGCATCCCTTCCGCAATAATGTGTCACACACACAGGAATTCAAACAGTGGCTTGTCCTATGTGTTTTTTGTTCAGTCGGACCGTTCTCGGTCCTTCAAGCATGGTGCTCCCGCTGCAGCGCTGGCAACATTACAGAATCGGCGACTTCCTTCCATCGTTCAGAGTTGCGATCTTGCCCAAGCGCGGGCCACATTTCTGGGTCCGACTCGCTCATCCTCTTTGTCGTCCTCCTTCGTTTCCCTTCTCCGCGTTCACCTGGTCATCCTGCTCCTCCTCATCATCCTACTCCTGGTTCTGCTGCTGCTTCTCTTCCGTCCTTATCGTCCTGCTCCTCCTCTGACTCATCCGCCACGTCCTCATCCAAAAGCAAAATCCAGTTGCTGCTTGCTGCTTGCGTATTGCACGACGGGTGTCGTTCGGGATCAGGGTTATCTGGGGCCTCCTGGCCGGCAGATATAAACGGATTCAGCGCAATGGAAAGGAATGGGTGGGCGGGGTAAGATATCAGATATGGCGTAAGCGCGCCTGACTTGCCATTGCCCTCCTCTTTCATGATTTGTTTTCCTTCGTCTCCATCCTCCCCCCTGCTGCCTCGGAAAGAGGACGCATGGTTTCCCATATCCTAAGATGGGGATCTTGTTATGACTTGGACGCCTCCTACTCCTTCCTCCTCTTCTTCTCCTCTTCCTCCTGATCCTCCTCATACCCAGACTTACTCATACACATATTTACTCATGCCCAGACCTAATCATACTCAGACTTCTTCATGGCAAAGTAAGCTCACACCCACTCAAATCCATACCCAGTCATAGTCATACCCACTCCCACTCCGGTACATCTCGTGTCCTCCCACTTGGACTTACGCATGCTCAGGTATACTCAGATCCACATTACTCATACACAATCTAATACCCACCTTACATTACTCATACTTAGACTCACCTATACTCGGGCTTACTCATGCTCAGATTGACTCATACCTATACTCGGACTTACCCATACTAAGACTCGTTCCCAGACGTACTCATACACAGACTTACTCCTACTCAGACCTACTCATACTCAGACCTTATCATTGTCTGACTTACTCAACACAATTGTCAGAATGTCTCAAGCGGGTCGATGGTTTCAGCACCACCAAGGGGAGCCGCCAGGGGTGTTTTCACGGTCCCGTTGGCAGCAAGTTTGTGGGGTTGTCTCATGCGGTTTGCCTGTTTTCTGTCTCAATATCCTTGGCTATCAGAGCAGATTCTGAGGATGTCTCAGGCGGGGCGCTGGCTTCAGCACCCCCAAAGGGAGCCGCCAGGGGTGTTTTCACGGCCCCGTTCGCAGCAATGTTGTGGGGATGTCTCAAGCGGTGTGCCTGTGGTCTGTCTCAACATCCTTGGCTATCAGAGCAGATTCTGAGGATGTATCAGGCGGGCGCTGGTTTCAGCACCCCCAAGGGGAGCCGCCGAGGGGTATTGCACGGTCCCGTTCGCGGCCGTTTTGTGGGGATGTATCAAGCGGTGTATCTGTGTTCTGTCTCAGCATCCTTCGCTTTCGGAGCAGATTTGGAGGATGTCTCGAGCGAGGCGCGAATGTTCACCCCCCAGGTGGGCCAGATGTTGAGGATGTCTCGATCGGTTTGCCTGTTTTGGTGGCCAGACTCGTGGGCACAGATTCCCCTCAGGATGCCGCAGGAGGCTCCAACAGGCTCCAGGAGGCCCCAGAAGGCCCCAGGAGGCCACATGAGGTCCCAGGAGGCATCAGGAGGCCACAGAAAGACTCAAGAAGCCACAGGATGTCCCAAGAGGCTCCAGGAGGCCCCAGGAAGCTCCAGGAGTCCTCAGGAAGCCACAGGAGGCCCCAGGAGGCCACAGGAAGCACCAGGAGGCCTCAGAAGGCAACAGGAGGCCCCGAGAGGCCCCAGGAAAAGGAGGCCTCAGAAGGCAACAAGAGTGGCTCCAATCCCATGTGTTTTACGTATGCTCCTATATATTGGGCCTTACCTGGAGCACGAATCCTTGATGTAGTACGTATGTTTCTATAGATTGTCCTTCTCCTGTGTACACAATCCTAAATGTTTTACCTATGCTCCCATAGATTGGGCCTCTCCCGGGAGGACCAGGAGGCCCCAGGAGGCCCCAAGAGGCTCCTGGAGGCCCCAGGAGGTTTCAGGAGGCCCCGGGAGGCCCCAGGCTCATGCGCAGAGACGCGCTCGTACTACTGAGGCTCACTCACACTCCAATTCATTCGCAGTTAGATTCATGACCAGACCGTCACAACTCAAGCCCGTTTATAGATTCGAGAACTCTTGCGCCTAGACATTCACAGCGGGCAGGTCCATGCGAATAGATGCACACATGGGGAGCTCCACGCAGTGAATATATTTTTTTCGTTGAGTGAGCGCTCGCTGCCTCCAAGCGGTCCGCATAGACGTGAAGCGGCCAGCGCAGTGCGCAGTGGGCAATGATTACAAAGCGTGCGTCGGCCTGCGGGGGAGCCAAGGGGCCCACTTCTTGCAAGAGAAGCTGGCACGTCAGAACAAGCCGCGAAGGGGCGAAGGGAGGTTAGCCGGAAGAGGAAGGCAAGAGGACTCATGGATGCATCCCGACTGGGATCCGAATGGATGCTCGCGTCGGAGGATCGCGCCGCATCGCCGATGCACTGGCGATACGTCGGCGACGCTGGCAATGCGACGGCGCCTTCTGCGCGGAGAAGCCCGGGCTTCACGTCGAGCGATCCTTCGCCCCCGTCTGCTCGGACCCTACTTGGGATGCCTGCACAGGGGAGGAGGAGGGATGACGACGACGACGACGACGACGACGACGACGACGAGTCCTGATGTCTTTGTTGATGCGAAGTCCCGGACGTCCCGACCTATTCCCCAGGACCGGATTTCCAAGCTGAGTCTTTTTTGACAGTCCGGGGGCCCTGCAGGGGTCCCTGCATGCGGAAAAAACGGGCAGAGCATCCTGGGCCAGCTTTCGTCACGACGCGAGCGTAGTTTTGCTCGGGCGATCGTCGAGCCTCAAAGCCGGGGACGTTGGCTGACCGTGGTTGGGTGGACGGGGGAGGGGGGCGGGGGGAGCGGGACGGGGCGCGGCACTCTCCTCGGGGACCGAGAAGCCCTCCTGCGCCAGCAGGCCGCAGCTCCTGCGGGGGCGCGCGGAGGAAGGGAGGAGGGAAGAGGGGAAAGGGAAGAGGAGGAGGAGGAGGAGGAGGAGGAGGAGGAGGAGGAGGACGAGGAGGA